CTACTGCTGCTACTGCTACTTCTTCTCCTTACTCCTGCTACTGCTACAACAACGACTACAAACAAAAATATGGGTACGCGTGCTCGTAGTCGTACTCGTACAAGTACTCCTACTATTACCACTACACCTATTGTCGACTACAATGACTGCGATGCTAAGTGCAATCACCCAGGGGTCAACAAGGTGGAAAGCCCTGCTATAGTACCTGAATGAGAACCTGAAGTCAACACAGAGTTTTCGACGGCTCTCATGCAAAACCTCTGCATCACCCAGCTTACAGCTAGCTTCGCTGGTTCCTGGGAGTCTGCCTTGGGGACCAAACATTTAGAAAGAGTGCCGGCGGCCGGGCAGCAGAATCACACCGGTGTGGATTACAAAAGTTAGTGCATTGCTAGTGCTAGTTGTGTGATCCGCCTGCTACTCGCAGCAAGCGGGTGTTGCCACGAGCTGAACCACATGGCAAGCTCTTCGGAGCTTTCCGGGTTGATTGCCATGGTTTTCCTTCGGGGTCTTTGGCCCCAGAGAAACTTCAGAAACATATAAAAACTATTTTAGGCCTTAGCAGCCGGAGCGCGCAGCGTCTTGCACCAGTGGCTTCTTGGCGCAGCTGCGGAAACGAAGCCCAAGCATGCCTAGCTAGTTGAACATGAGGATCGGCGAACCTACGACCACGCTTCGACGGTGTAGCGCCCCTCCATCTTCAAGTTGGAAAGGATGGCTTCGGCGTCTTCCTCACCCACGCGCTCGTTGGCCATCATCACCTCCTTCATGGCGGTGTAAATGTCCTGAACGACCGTGTGGCACTGGCAATGAGAAAATCAGAAGTAAGACATAGCCTCTCCTACTTTTGTGTTTGAGTCAATTAGGTGCTCAAGTCCTCTGGCACTTGCCGGGCACTGCCACAGACGTAGAAGTGGCCGTTTTGCCGCAGCATGTACTCGGCCACCTTCTCACCGGCCTCCATGATGCGGTGCTGAACCTTAGCCGAAGGGCCTCTCAAAGAGGGGAAGGCTTCTGCAAAGTCCCGTCTGCAGCAAAGGCACGTAGATCTTTCGAGCCTGCTCGCGCGAAAAGGCCGTGTGCATGGAGAGCACGCCCTCCTTGACGTAGCTCTCGAACTCGTCCTTGTAGAGATACTCGACGGCATACCGTGCGCCGAAGAAGAGCATGCAAGGGCCCACCTTCTGGCCCTGGCGATGCTGGCAAATACGCTCCTGCGTGACCGCCCTCCACGGTGCCAAGCCCGTGCCCATGCCAGCCATGAGAACTGGGCTGCTCGGCTCCTTCGGCAGGACGATGGCACTGGAACGCACAGCACACATGATCGAAGCACCGGGCTGCTGGTCACGCATGTAGCCGGTGCACTCGCCGATTCGCAGCTCCTGGGTGCTCTCAACCTTCCAGTCTACAAGCACAACGCAGAGCTGGATCTTGTCTGGGTGCATGAGCGGGGAGCTAGCGATGGAATAACTTCTGGGCTTCAGCACCGGAATCATATTCAGCAGCTGTTCGATGGGAGGCCGGGCGCTCTGGAACTTCCGCAGCACGTCCGCATGGTGAGCGAAGTCGTGAGTGAGGTCGCGGTACAGAGCTTGGCCCTCGGCGCTGTTCTCCACGATGGACCGCAGCTGGCTTCGTTCCTTTTCGTCTTTGGCAAAGAGCGACAAAGTCTCAAAGAACTTGCGGTTGGGCTTGCCGAAGATGTCGAGGACATGGGAGAAGAGCTGGCGGACATTGAGGTCCATGGGGCACCAGTTCCTGGCACCCTCGAGTGGCAGCACGCGCAGCTGCTGGCCTGCATCAAGCCCCATGTCAGTGCAGAACTGGAGCACCTTGTCGATAGGATTCCGCGGCCAAATGGCCAAGCTCTCACCGGTCTTGTAGGAGACTGAAGTACCCTCGATCTTGAACTCGTAGTGGCGGATGTCCCGGTCATACTTGGCATCACCCGTGAGGACGGAGTTATGCAGCAGGGTGAGTTTCGTGGCGCCGGGCGGGACGATGTCATCATCCTTCACCGGGGGCTTCTCCACGGACCCGGCACTGACATCCACCCGGTAGCAGGGGGTCGGGACCTCTTGGCTCAGCGGCAGCTGTGGGACGCCAAGCACCTGCACAGACAGGGGAAGGGTATGGGGATGCACGGGGCGACTAGATTAGTAAAACAGTACTCTGATACTACTAAAGTAGTGCTATGATATACCATCTTACAATACTACCATCATAGTTACTATACCTCAGCAGGCTTCGTGGCAACCTTGTTACGCTCTGACCCCACCTGCCAGAGCTCCGGGAGCCAAGCCTCCCAGCCGGTGTAGTAGCGGTCCTCATCCCGGTCGTCGCCGACGCCACGCTTGAGCATGCGCTGGGCGCCCAGCTCGCCGAGGCGGGTGTCGAAGCCGATCGCCGCCACGCAGAACTGCGAGTAGGTGGAGTCGCCCAGGCCGAAAACGGCAAATTTGGTTCCCGACAGCCAGCTCATTGGCAGCTCCTGGGACTGAAGCTTCATCCATGTCTGCTTGCAGTTTGCCGGGTACTCGCCGAGACCACAGGTGGAGACAACCAGGATCACGATCTTCTGGTTGGGCAGCTCCTCAAAGTCGAAGTCGTCCATGGCTGTGCAAGTGGCCTTGAGCCCCCGGGCCATGATGTCCTGCATGAGGTTCTTGGCCTGCTCCTCAGAGTTCCCCGTCTCACTGCCATAGAGGATGGTCACAGAGTTGCCAGCAGAGCTGGCATCCGAGAGGCCCTCCACCAGCTTGTGGAACTGGCCCTCCAGGTCGTCCTTGTTTAAGACCTGCAGGAGGTGGTTCTTCTGGACCAGCTGCTCCTTGAGCTTGTCATCCAGCTCCTGGGCGTGCTTAGGGTCGCGGCGCATCACGGCCGCGAAGCGGTTCTCCTTGGCCAGGAACTTGAAGAGGTCACCCTTAATCTTCTTGCTGTCAAGTTGGAAGGGGTTGTTGCCATGAGCGGCAGCTTCGGGGTTGTAGCGATAGAGCGGCCAGTAGCCCGAGTCCACCGCCATCTGGCAGTGCTGGATGGACTCTGCCATGGGGAAGCCCTGGCTGATGCACGGCGAGTAAGCCAGGATGATGCTGGGGCCCGCATAGGCATCGGCCTCCAGCATGGCCCTCACAGCCTGCTGCGGGTTCACGTGCACACAGATGCTGGCCACGTAGACGTTCTTGTAGGTCATGGCTAGCTGCCCCATGTCCTTCTTCGCTGTCAACTTACCGCCCTCGGCAAACTTAGCCATGGCACCCTTGGGTGTGGACTTCGAAGCCTGGCCGCCAGTATTGCTATACATCTCCGTGTCCAGCACAAGGATGTTCACGTGCTCTTCACTGGCGATCACGTGGTCCAAGCCGCCGTAGCCGATGTCGTATGCCCAGCCGTCGCCGCCGACCATCCAGAAGCTGGAGCGGCCGAACATGTCTTCCAGATCATGGAGGTACTTCAACTTGGGGTGGCTGTCCTTCTCCTTCGAAAGGAGCGGCTCCAGCTTCTCCATGAGTTGATGGTAGATGCTGCGGCCGCGGGGCAGCAGGAGGTCATGCATCTGCTCCTTGCGCATGACCAGGTACTGCTGGAGGGTCTGGCGCAGCTCGTCAGACATGATCACAGTCTTGTCGCCCAGGGCGTCCTCGACCTGCATGGCCAAATAGTCCCGGCGCTGCTTGAAGGCCTTGCGCATGCCAAAGCCGAACTCTGCGTTGTCCTCGAAGAGGGAGTTTGCCCAGGCGGGGCCCTCGCCCTTGCTGTTGACCGTGTACGGGAAGGACGGATTGGATCCGCCCCAGATCGAGGAGCAGCCAGTGGCATTCGCGATGACCAGCCGTTCTCCGAAAAGCTGGGTCATGAGCTTCACGTGCGGTGTCTCGCCGCAGCCCTCGCAGGCTCCCGAGAATTCAAGATATGGCTTCTGAAACCTCACAAGGCCGTGCCACAACACAGGCCACACAAACACGCACAGACGGTTGCTGGGATTCGGAGTCTCGAGAAAACACAAAAAACTTTCAAAACTTACAAACCCTTGGCCCGAGGAGCTGGGAGCCCTTGACAGTCGTCTTGTCAATCTCATCACCTTTCGGGACGCAAGCGTTGAATATCGTTGAATACAACTACTATCCTAGACTTCAGTGGTAGGATGTCGCGTGCTAGCTGCTCCTGCTCCTAGCTACATGTGTCATATCAGCGGAAAACCATCGTGCATCAAATCATCATCCGACTGCATGGCGGCATTGCCTCGGTCCGGCAGTGTCACTGCAAAGTTCCAGTTCGGCTCCTCCTGCTGGATCACCTGCACAGCTCTGCAAACTATACAATATGGGACATTGTAGTATTTACTGCTATATAGACCATACACTGTCATATGTATATATATATATATCTATACGTGTATAAATAAATAAACAAATAAACATAAATACACATATAAATATATATATATATGTATATCTGTGTGTATAATGTGTATACATATGCACATACTGTATCGTAAGTGTACATAAGTCCGTACTATACTATACCATACTATCCTACACTATACTGTGCTATACTATACTGTACCGTGTTGTACTACACTACTACACTTTATGGCACGATACTATACTACGCTGCATACTACTCTATGCTATACTGTATATTTTTGTACGACATATGTATATATATATATGTATATGTATATATGTATGATACCATACCCGTAAACGCTAAGCCCCCAAAGCAATTTTTGCAACTTGCCTGCAAAGACTCTGTTGGGTTTAGGCCGGGGAAGCGTTTTCAATATACTCCCCTCTTAGCAGCATGCTCCGCACAAAGCCCTAAACGCCAAAAGCCGTAAACCCCGAACACCCTTTTTTCCCAAATCCCTTCAACCCTCAAACCAAAAACCCTACACCCTAAACCCCAAAAGCCCTAGACGCAAAAAACCCTAAACCCTAAATAAACCCCAAGAGCCCCAACCCCTAAACCCCAGAAAGCCCTAAACCCCAAGCGGCACGAAGCCTGTCCAGCTGGGCTCAGCTTCAGCGCATCGGCCGGGCAGATACGGACGCAAAGCTCGCAGCCCGTGCAGTCCCATGGGGAGACCTCTGAGTGTAACAGAGGTTCAGGATGGTTCAGGGTTTCGAAGGGTTTAGGGCCGTTTAGGGGTTTGTTGACACTCACACCCGGACAAGCCTGGCAAAGTCTGTGGCGATACTGGTTTCGACACTCACTCTCCCGCACAGCAGGCAAGGCTCCACTTGGTGATACTGGTTTGGGGGTTTTGGGTAAAGACTGCTATAGCATGTATGCAGTCCATAGCATAGTAGACGATTTACATTAAGGTACTAGATCATAGTCCATAGTATGGCTGCACAAGCAGGGCTGCCCACAGCAATCCAACACATGAGAGCGGTTAAATCCAGCTTCCCTTTCGGGTCCTCGCCTGGATGCGGTACTGGTAGTTGTCCAGCACGCCGCCGCCAATGGCAGCACGGCTGCCAGCCCTGAAGTCCTGCGGAGCCTTGCTCAGCTCCTGCGTGGTGGCCAGGAAGGGCCGCACGGCAGCGTGGGGGCAGATAAGGCTGCACTTGTTGCACTGCGTGCACTTGTCCATGTCAACTGTGGGCACATTGATGGCGATGCCACGCTTCTCGTACTGGCTGGTGCCCAAGGGCACACGGCCACCAGGGACGAAGGTGCTCACAGGCAGGGCATTCCCATCCAGATTGTTGCACTGGCTTTGGACTTGCTTTGCAAATTGATCTGAGGTCATGTCCACGATAGTCCTGGGTCCCTTCTTGAGAGTGGATGACTCATCAGACTGCTCCTCCACGGTGAGGGATGCCCAGGAACTCGGCACCGGGCACTCCACGATGCCCGTGACCGACGCATCCACGCCGTCGATGTTCATCTTGACCACGGCATCACCTTTCTTGCCATACATCTTCTTGATGCTCTTCTTCAACATCTCGATGGCCTCCTCGTAGGGCATGACGCCAGAGAGCTTGAAGAAGACGGACTGCATGATCATGTTGATGCGCTTGCCAAGGCCGGCCTTCACTGCGATCTGCGTCGCATCGATGATGTAGAGCTTCGCCTGCTATTATTAGGCTATCTCTCATCGTTCGAATAGTACGATAATACCATAATAGCATTATAAAGACTGTACTGGTACAGGCCCAGTAGAGCTTCGCCTGCTTCGTGGCCAGGTCTCGGCGCATCTTCGCGGGCAGGTGCCTGGCATGTGCCACATGTAATATACCCCCACACCAGAAAGCTGACTCCCTACTATTGTAGAGTACTCGAATATAGGGTACTATTATGGAATTATAGGGTACTCTAATATGATCTACTATTTTAGGGTACCCATCCTATAGCCGAGTCAATACCGTGATCCGCGCTTGCAAGGCAAGTCTCTTCTCGAGCTCGGCCGGGGTCCAGGAGCAGTTGATGACGCAAACGCCGTTGGGCTTCAAGTATCGGGTCATGTCGTAGTTGGTGACATAGCTGGACTTGTGCACGGCCAGGTAGTTGGCAGAGCGCACGTTGTAGGGTGCATGGATAGGCTTGGGGCCGAAGCGGAGGTGGCTGATGGTAACACCACCGCTCTTCTTGGCATCGTACTCAAAGTAGGCCTGAGCATAAAGCTCCGTGCCCAGCGCGATCATCTTCACTGCACTCTTGTTGGCGCCCACGGTGCCGTCGCTGCCCAGGCCGTAGAACATGCACTCCGTGGTGCCCTGCGGGAGCACGTCCAGCCAATCGCCAACAGGCAGCGAAAGGTTCGTCACATCGTCGTTGATGCCCACGGTGAATCGTGGCTTCGGGGTTTCCTTGGCCAGGTTTTCGTAGATGGAGAGCACCATGTTGGGAGTAAATTCCTTGGAGCCCAGGCCATAGCGGCCACCAATGCAGATGATGTCGGCTCTCCCTGACAACTGCAGAGTGGAGGAGACCTCCAGGAAGAGCGAACCCTCAATCTCAGCCATAAGCCCTATACACCCTAAACCCCAAATCCCTAAAAATGTAACAATATAGTAATTGGCAAGAATCATAATGATAAGAACCAACATAGCAATCAATAGCAATGATTAGGCCCTGACCTCCAGGAAGAGCGGCTCCCCCTGGGAGCCAGGCTCCTTGGTTCGGTCCAGCACGCAGATCCTCGCTGTCGTCTTTGGGAGGGCCCCCAAAAACCGGGAAGTGTCCCACGGCCGGAAGAGCCGCACCTTCAGCACTCCCACCTGAAGGGGAAGATTAGAGATCTTGTAGGGTGTAGGAACTGAGGGTTCAGGACTGGTTCAGAGAGCAGGTTTTTTAGGGTCCGGGGATGTTTGAGTTGTTTTTTGGATGCTTGCGTTTTAGGCTTCAGGGTTCCAGCGCTCACACTCGGGCAATCCAGACGAGGCATGTGGTCTTATGTCGGCGACGGTTTACGCTCTCGCAACTCGGACCCCTCTGTGTCCACCTACTCCAAACACGACACTGTGAGCGTGCAGTCACTTCTACACCACCCAAAGATCAAAAAAGACGGTTTAGGGCAGTTTAGGGCTCAGCACTCCTACCTTCTCGCCCTTGTCATGGAGGTACTTGGCCGTCTCGCTGCAGGTGACGGCGCCGCTGCCCATCACCACAATGACATTGGTGGCCTCTGGGTGCCCCTCGTAGGCATAGAGAGCATAGTGCACACCTGCAGACACCCACGGAATTTCACATCATCCCACACAGTTTTGCCAGTACCCCGCCTGTCTTCTGCTCCACCAAGCGGGATTTGGCCTCAAAGAGGTCTGCGAGGTTGTCGTAGAAGGTGTTGCCGGCCTCACAGGTGTGCTCTGATCTGCCGTGACCAGCGACAACAGAGTCAGTAGCGACAACTTGTAAACGCATTGTTGAAAATGATGGGAAGAATCACTATCACTACTACTACTGCTGCTCGCAATAACAGCTCCTGCGATTGAGTAAATTTCAACACCACCGCCATCGTCAATAATGAATGCAGTATCTTCTCCTCGCGACTTCATCTCGCACCGCTCCTGCCTCAACGCACTGGAAGAAGATGTCTGGACCCTGCGACGTTCCCTGCACGTGAGGATGCCGCGGGTTCATGGCAAGGTCGTGATGCTCCTTGATGGCATCCCAGTTGACGAAGTCCTGACGCAAAGGCGCACATGCAGCAGCACATGCAGTTTTATGCAACTGCGCATGTGTGCCTTCATGGTCTTGTAGTCCACCAACTTCACCTTGTTGACCTCGTGGCTCGTGCGGAATCCATCGAAGAAATGCTGCACCGGCACACGACGCTCCATGGAGACGAGGTGGGCGACCTGGACAAACGTGCTTGATGCATCAGGGACATGGACACCTCTCACGGAAAAAACATACATCAACCTGAACGTTTGCACACGTTCTCGACCAGTGCCGCGACAAGTGCCAACATGTGTCCAACATGTGCTAAGAGATCCTAACATGTGGGTAGTTCTCTACATTAGAGTCCCTTTTAGGGTCCTTTTTTTGGGGTGCCGTGCTATATTGGGGACACTACCCCTGTCCTAGCTGCTAGGCCGGGCGACCAGCGCATTGTACTGCACCATCTCCACAGACTCCGAGGCCAGCATGGCCCAGCCCGTAGAGCGGCAGGCCATGACATCGCTGTGATCCCCAAAGATGGACAAGGCCTGTCCTGCATTAGACTGTAATCGTACTAGTTACTAGTATAATACTATAACAGTTCGAAAATGGTATTTTGAGAATAGTATACAAATACCATGTTAATCCTATATTACTGTTGTACAAGGCCTGCAAGGGCCCGTGCGGCCACGTGCATTACGCACGGAAGCAACTCACCTGCAATCTTGAACATGTTGGGGATCATCAAAAGCAGCCCCTGGCTTGCGGTGAAGGTCGTGCTGAGAGCTCCTGCTTTCAAGGCGCCATGCAAGGCTCCAGCAGCACCCGCCTCACTTTGCATCTCCGTGACGGATAGCTTCTGGCCATAGCAATTGATTAAACCTTGAGCAGCCCACTCGTCAACCATCTCGCCCATCGGGGAGCTTGGTGTGATGGGGTAAATGAAGGCGCAGTCACTGAGGGCGTAGGCCACGTGAGCTGCTGCCTGGTTCCCATCGATGCATGCAATGGAGCCTTCGCTGGCCTGGATCACATCTGTGTCCGCGTTTTGATGAACTATCGTCTTGTTCTCCGCCTTGAACATGGCCCGCTGTACCTCCTTTGCCTTCAAAAACTGCTCGTACTCAAAGTCTGCAACACCTGCATTCAAAGAAGCCAATCGCTCCGGGTGTTCGGTGGTCCTCTCCTCTGCCGGCGCAAGGCCACCATAAGGTCCGAAGGGAGACACTTGCCCGCGGACTGCCATGGCAAGCCGAGAGGGAGGTACACTGATTCACTTTTAGGATGCAGTACGCTGCTGGGCTGAAATGGCTGCCCACATGCCGACACCATCCGACGCCTTGCAGCCGACCTGACGCCCTGCAAAGAGACCTGGATTAGCACTAATGGTTAAGCCCAAGCACTCATCCAAATTTTTTTTCGGAGCAAGCTTCGCCGGTCCCTGCAAGTGGGCTTTCGTGGAGAGCCGACGTAAGACCGACCGCCGTGGGCAGATTTGGGCAGGGCAGCTGCATCACCATCACATCCCAGCGAAACATAAAGGGCCGCTGCCAGACGCACGATCCACCAAAAGCTGCACCTTTTGAAGTTATAGCTACTATAGCCTAATTCGGTATAGCATGCCAAATGGGCTGCAATGGAATCCTGTATATGTTGATGCTGACGTGTCGGACACCCTTAGCAAACAAATAAAAGACCGCGTACGCCAAGGTAATTACGGAAGAACATCTTACAAAGCAGCAGGAGGAAATCACGGCATAAGGGTACTGATGGGATGGCTTATGTCAGCTAAAAGCAGAAATCACGCCTCCATATGCAAAGTTTAAGGACTGCTCTGGCCATCATGTTCCGTAGAAAAAACCATTCCCATCAAGCAACAGATTGCCTTCAAACGAACAATCACGCGTCAACGCCCAGGATGGATCTGACCGAATGAACCATGCCCCTTACAAGTGGCCAGATGAAGACAACAGATCACGCCTAAAATCAACGAAGGTTAGATCAATGTTCAGTTATATCAGTATTTCACGAAAATACTAAACCATCATTCTGTTCGTATCATTTCTGACAACAAAAATCATAGCTAAATAGACTTTCTATCTTATCTGGAATGAGTTCTTTTGAAGGCGCATAGAGTTTGATTTTCGACATGAAATCCAGAAACTTTTTCCCAAGAAACAGATTAGCCTCACACATCAAAAATATTCATGTCTCCTGTTCTTTCATTATCGATTCGGAGTGCTTGGATGATTCTTCCAATGTGTTGTTATCATCTGTCCAGTTCGTGCATCCCCTGCAAACGTCATGATACGGGTATCCCGGTTCTCATATATTGAATGAACCCGCATTATTCGGATTTAATGATTGGAGCTGGCATTTCTTGTTTTCTCGTGGCGCTGCTGGCACGCCACGCTCCAGACAAACTGGGGTCACCTGTGCTCACGAAATAGAAACTCGCATGACATGTGACTTTGCCGCTGGGCTTTGCTCAGGCCAGTGCGACGAGGCCACGTGCAGGCGTGTACCCAACCGTCACAACCACGCTGTCGCCGACCTTTTGATCTACTCAAAGCCGAACAGGTGGTGGTTAGTCCGCAGCACGGCACACTTTCGACCTCGCCTCCAGGTGCGGCGGCCGGTTCCTTCCTTCACATGGCCAAACAACGCCTGCCAACCTGCACACAGCTCAGCGAATCTCGAGCCCTGGCGAGCGCATGGCTGGGCATTTCTTAGTTTTAATTTTTTGAAGCCAAAACCACCCCATGAGCGCCCCAAAGCGCAGATGAGGTTTGGAGGCGCAAACACCAGTCGTGCACGGTGCTGTGGTGCCTTGCACGACAACAGGAGGCGGACATGCACCGAACCTTTTGCACGGCAGTTTTTTACCTTAAAGCCATAAACCGCTGAGTTTCGAAACCACACCAAGCAGCCCGGAGAAGGCGAATAATCTAATTGCCGCTGCCAGGGTCTTCAGATCCCAGCACTCTCGCGGGAGCTCGAGTTCCACCCCCGGACACCCAAGTAGCGAAACCCAACTCATCGAGTTCGATAATGCAAAAATCGTTGTTTAAAAATGAGTCGGGCCGCGGCCGCAGTGGAGCTGCGCAAAGCACACGACTGAAGTCGATATTGCACATCACGACCCAGCGGAAGCCGCAGCACCGCCGTGCGCACCGTGCATGCAAGTCTGTCTTACTTCCCAAGACCGCAACCATCGAAACTCGGAATATCTCGGATACATCGTGACGTCGGAAAAAACCCATTGCGCCTCTTGTCCCAGCTCTGGCCTGGCTCCAGGCTCCAGAGCAGCAGAAGCTCGAAAAAATTGAGGGCTGCCTGCTGATCCTGGCCACGCAAAGCGTGTGACGATGCCGTGGACCTGGCTCCGCAGAAGCCATGTCACGGAGACTTCACTGTCACTGAACTCCTCGGAAGTCTGATCGGGTGCCTTCCCAGAACTTTCTGCTGTCAGCCTCAAGCGCAACAAAGGTGCTCCGTTTTCACCTCGACAGCATGCGAGGAAACGTGAGGAAACTCAACCCCCTCAAGCCATACGAGCCACGGCTTTAATTGGGCCCTGAGGTTCAGGGCGGGCGCTGAGAGCTGCCAGTGCTGTGAGAAGGGAGGGGCCCAAGGGCAGCGAGAGGGCCTCCACCTTCAATCAGGATCGTCTTATGGGCGACGCAGGAAACACAACGCATGGAGGCACCTCCTTGCATAGGCATCTCGGCTTCAAGAGCGATTCTTCAAGACCTCGAATGCCATGTCAAGCCCATTACACACCCTTCCGGATGATGACCAGGTGACTGTGGCCAGAGCTCAGGAAGTCGGAAACGCTCAGTGCGTTCACTTCGGAGACATCAACTCCGCCAGGACGCTCCACTACACGAGTGCGCCTGGGGACACAGGAACGCAAGCGCTGCGGGATATGCCGCGAGCTTCCCGTTACCTCTCAATTGATACCAAAAGAAAGGGGTCCTCTCCAGCTCGTCACTCTCGATGAGAGACAGCTTCAGCACGATGGCCTTGGCACATGGACTTGTCAGACTATTGCAGAGAGCCTGAGACTACAGTGGCTGCAGGTTGAGCTGTAAGTGCCTCGGGAACAACTCGTAGCTCTCGGCCGTGTCGTCCTGTGACAAAAGCACGCCCGCGAATCGCAATATACTTTGCTCGGCCTATGACCACATCTGCCTGAGCAGGTGCGCCAAAGGAGTGACAAATCCTCAGCAATTGAAAGTCAGGCGGCATGTCACGAGTTTTCGATCAAACTTCGGGACTGTGGGACCCCTTTTGCACGCTGACCGCTGCCAGAGACTTCCAACTCCAACTCATGGTGCTTGCCTCGAGAGCTTCTGCCCGCAGGGCGCCGGAAGCTCCCACAATATCCTCGCAAAGAAACGTGTACTTAATGTACTTATGACATCAGGAACATTGGCTCAAAACCTCGCAGATGATGAGGCTGGCCGATGGTGTAGACTGCAGAGTGGCCTGTTGACGACGAACTGACGTGCCATGACTTTGAGACTGCGGCATCTCATGTCTGCTACCAGAAGCTGCGACCTGTAAGGATTTGGACAAATGCAACAGGAGATATGCAGTGTTGGAGCCTTGATCAATTACTCACAGTGTTGGACAAGGACAACATAATGAGGAAAGGACTTGAGACATTAAGAAACCACCACAATGCCTCCCGTCGTATGCCCGTGTCACCAAAACGACGGTGGCGCACGAAGACGAGGAGGAGTGGAGGAGGTTCAGTCACAACGACATGGCTTGCCTCTGCACCAGCACCGTTGGGTGGAAACGGAGACGGTAATGCTGCCTGCAACTCCAGCAGGGGCGGCGGTGTTTTATTTCCTAGGTCTGGCGGAGCTTGCAGGTACCCAGCACATAAAGCAGTCAATGGAGCTCTTCATCGGTCCTGGATCAGTTGCTGCGCGGATGCCAATAGAATATGCACCTCAAAACGACCATCTGACCATCTGATCAGGACGGGCACCGGCTGTAACCCCTGGCTTTGGCTTCGGCACGATCTGTGTCCAGCGAGCTTTCTGCCATCAGCGAGAGCAGAGCCTCTTGGCCAAGCGCCATGGCATCAACACGGGCAGCTGTTGAAGCCGCATCATGCAGGTCCAACGCCTGCTTCTCAGCGCGGCTTCGCAAACCTCCGTATGCTCGCTGACTGCTTACTTACCAGAACGCGGTACATGCTACATACTACAGACCAACCCACCGGCACAACACAAATGCCCAGGCACTGTCACTCTCATGCTCGCGTGCTTCGCTGAGGTTGCAGCAGCAAACAGCATCCCATCTCGAAGCCGCGGCACAAAGCTCAGGAGCAAGTAGAAGGGAAAGGGGTAGAGCCTGAGTGATGCTTGCGATTTAAGTGGCTGGATAGTTGTCACCTTGAACGCATAGTTTTACAGCCTTCGACAAGGACATTTCGCTTGTTGACCCAAGGTCATGATGACACGCTTCCCACTTGCAGCCTACGATCCGCCCCTCCTCGATGCACGAACTCCAGACTGTGAGCGGCACATCAGAAATGTCCAGCAACTGCACGAAGGAGCCCGGCGCCAAACCTCTGACTTCAATCGAAAGCTCTGGCCGATGAACTTCGAAGGATGCCCATGGGTTCACTAGCCAATTTTTTGTTACTTCGGTTCTGATTCCACACCTGATCGGAATCTCTTCCTATCCCCTGCAGGCTGGCATGCTGCCAGTCAGCTCAGGTTTACCGCCACCGGCCACAGCAGCAGCCTTTTGAAAGCCAAGCCAGCCAAGCACGCTGAACCCAGGTTTTACTTCCTCAGCTGCTACAACTAGTGCAACTTCCCAAGCTTCACAGCCCGTGACACTGCCAAAGCAATAGGCTATAAGCAATGGGTGAGATGAACAAAGAAAGAAGCGCCCTCCCTGTCCTCTCCGGGCCACCGCACTCGAGAGTGCTCGGGTCATGGCTTCCTTGACCGCCTGTCACAATAGTCCACTTTAGTTTGTCCCCATAATATGAATAGTCCCTCGAGTCCCTACAGCGTATGATTCACATGAGCGACTGATCGGATGTCCAGTGCGAGCCAATTGAAGACGCACTTTTCGTGGCGGCATGTGCTAGCGCAGTGGTTTGCCACGCGAGCGTGCGTCTCTCTACGGTCTCAGAAGGACTTCTCTAGAAAGGGCACTCGGTTGATGAGGAATAGACTCAGCAAGCCGCACCAAGGTATCATCCCGCACATGGAAGGCATGCGAACATGTGATAGCAGGGGCACATCAAAAGCATTTCCTACGAATCTGGAGAGTGGAGGGACACCCCTTGACTGGGTAAGGCGGGCATGAGTGAGTTCCAATACCTGTGCCGCAACAACTGATTCGGCGACTGTTTGTCTTAGCTTCCTGATGCTTCCTGCAAAACTCGATGGCAAAGGCATGGCACTACCTTCCGCTTTAGCAAACACGACTTGGTAGCGGTCGTGCAAATCGCACAGTCACCTATACAAAATACTGTATAATAAAGTGTAAACTATATAGTTTTGAGTGTGCGATACAGATCCCGGGGGCTCTAAAGAGCTGTCTTCACACGGTCAGTCGACGATCCATGGGGGCACACCACTGACTGGCGAGAGAGGGTGCGGATGTTCGAAGCAAAATCATTTTATAGTGTATGCCTGGGGAACACTTCGGCAAATATCTGATTTCAAGAGCTCTTCAAGTCTCCTGCCCGAAGCAAGATTCTTATACTCGACCGTAGAGTGCTGAGCAGCGTCGCACAATGTCAGCTACCTTCTGCAAGGGCACATTCTTGCGGTGTTCCGAAGTCTTTGAGGTAGCATGGCTGTAAGTAACACGAGCAGAAAGCACATGATGCGCACTCCCCGCCATGCCCCAATACGAACCGCATACCTGCCAGTGGCCGCTGTCATTGAGGCGCATGAGCTCTTCTTCTTCAAGCCTGAGCAACTCAAGACAACGTCTTTCTTCCTCAGCTTGCCGCACACCAATCATCGAAGAGACTCTCGAACCCGTTTTGCATGATGAAATTTGACGTCCTTTCGGGATCTCCAAACTCCATGCCGCATGCTTGGGGGCCAGATCCGAGCCCCAGTCAGCAACTCGACAAGGTCGTCATCCGGCACCTGCCATCGCTGCGCATTTCGGTATCCCGAAGCTCAAGCTTGCAATCATGAAGAGTCGTGCAGCAGACTCAAAACCCTCAACAGCTGCCCTAAGGGTGCAGATCTCACAGTATCTCCTCCTGCTCCCGCTTTTGGTCCATATCCGGAAGCTCTTGGAAAAATCCGGCTTCAGGCCAAACTGCCAGAAGCGGAAGGAAGATTTTGCCAGGATCGGCCCTGGGGCCGAGCATCCAAAGATTCCACAGATTTTGGTAAACTTCTGCTTGTGGCAGTATGCTTGGGATTGCCTGGCTAGGGACGAATTCAATGGACGCACCCACATCTGATCATCTGAATGATGCTGGCCGGGCTCTTGCTGGCCGGGAAGATGAAACGATTGCGGAAACTCGACGTATCACACCAGAGCACGTGACATGGAGAGCTTCTTGGCGATTTTGAGATCTCTGCAGTCCGATGGCTTTTTGTATGCAGGATCCTCCACATCCTGTGAAGCAAGAGTGGCACGAGGGCATTGGCAGGAGCTACGGAACCTGTATCCGAACATGGACAGTCAAGCAAGGCCATCCCAGCCTGGACCGTATAGGTGCCTTCGCGAACGACACCTGTTGGCTGAAACAGGGAGCTTCCGTGCATTGAAGCGACTGCTCAAAAGGCCTTTTTTGCTGTCCACCACCTTCCACATAGCGCTGGGGTCGGAGAAGAGCTGCACCGGGAAAGACTGGAATCCCCCGACCCAACACAGCGTGCACTCGCCCTCCTCAAGGGCGTTTCAGCGACTCTCAAACGCAGGATTCCAGGTCTCAGTTGCTACAAGACCAACTCAACAAGCTATATTATAAGTATAATTAAAGCAAGTACGTCCTGTCTTGAAGAACTATGACACAGGATCATGACATAGATCCAAGTGCTCTTCTCAGCTGTCACAAACCTCAAAACCCAAGAACAGCTCCTCGAAGCCACAGACGGTGCCCAGCTCACGGACCAGGGCGAGACTACTGAGGCCGTCGAATCGGACGTGTGCGGCCAAGGCGTCGAACACCAACACCGAGTGCAACATAATGAAGTCCTCCTCACATGCGCAACGACAATCGTACTTCTGCCTCTTGCATTGCTGAGTGGGTCGCTAGGCAGGGTAGCAGGTCACACTCCAGTAGGTTCATAGTACTAGGGGCGCTGCTGAGACAGCTGTATTCTAGCATCTATGCCACACTGCGACGTTCTTCGCCAAAGAGTGTGGTACACACCATGAAGTTCTTACTTCGGAAGAAAAAGGAAACTAGTTCGTGTGGCCTCGAATTGTCTGCATGGGGAGGAAAAAAATATGTTGGTTGTTGTGTCCGGGTGGTCTCCTGACTCCCGATGGTCTGGGTGGTCTCCTAGGGTCTGCTGCGGTCCCTGGGTGGTTTTCGTGAGGTCTGTTGGTGGAATCCTGCCGGTTGTGGTCCCTGGTCGACTCTTAGGCTCTTGGCCCTCTCCTGGCAGCTGGCATGTTTCCCCGGGATCTACTGTGGCATAGCATTCGTTAAACAACCCCGAACGAGAATCTTTCAAATTTACTCTGCACAGATTTAAAGACACACGTTTCATGTATATAACGTGTGTTCACGCTTTTACTCTCTAACCTGACTAACGTATCCATGTTTTACGCCGTACACACAACTGAATACCCATTCGTGTCCGCCTGCATACGTACATGCATACATTCATGCATGCATAGGAACATACAAACACACGACACACATATGACCATATCTCCATGCATGCATACACATGCACATGCGGAAATATTGCTAATTAGTCGCAGCCCCACTGCAAGAAGTTGCTCCGCAGGGTGACCCGCACATACAAATATACATCCATGCATCTATGCATCCATGCTCCCATCCATCAATCCAAGCATGCATGCCTGCACATGCACATGTACACATTTACGTGCATATTTACATACATACATACATACATACATACATACCTGCATATACATCTGTATATTATATATATATACACATATAAAATACATGTGCAAAATATATGTACATGTGTATGAGCAAGCGACAATCAAAACAAACATGAGTTGTGCCGAGGCTGCCACCTCCCTTCCGCCAAACACTTGCAGCTGGTCGAAGGTCAAAGGGAGAAGCATCCGGTTGGGCAAGTTCCAGAACCAAAAGTAGGCCATCAGAAGGTGGAAGCCAAGCCTCTGCAATAGTGTGCTAGTCAAGGGGTTCCCGGACTGTCCGGATCTTGCTTACCGAAATCCTAAGTATCCGAGACGCCACTCTCCCATCCATCCTGGGGCAGGAGCGCCCTTCACCACAGGGCAGCCGCTGTGTGCGACCACCTGCTTGGCAGATCTTCCGAAGGTGATTAAGAGGTGTCCTATTTGGTTTTCGTGGCTCGAAAGGGACGACCTTGCCCAGTTTGGCGGCCGCCGATACCCGCACAAGGAGAACCCCTTGCGCGAAGTTCCCGGCAGCGTGTCGGTGCGCCACTACATAGGGCACCTTATTGTCAAAGCGTGTGCATTACTGCATTGCGACAGAACTCCAACTGGAGCCGCAAAGAAGGACCGACAAATTCAGGCCTGGCTACGTGGCTTGGGACAAAGTTGCCGTAGACACTGTACAAGGCATGTGCCAAAAGGAAGGCAGCCATAGCCGGATGGATTTTTGGAACGTCGTGCCATTGCAAGCCCATGGGGCCACCTCCCAAAGGTGATCCGGTCGGGACTGGGGGATCTTTAGCGGTTGAGGGAATCACTGACATGTCAGGCGCCGATGGCCCATGATTGCCGCAGACCGCCTACCGCAGGCCCATAGCAACCGAAAAGGAAGATGTACAACAAGGCGTCCACGAAGTTCCAGGTGAAGACCTGGCTCTTATGGCCTTTTTTCGATCGCACAAGCCTGCAAGGCGTTTGGCTTGAGGCCCCTGCGTCCACGATAAGCGTAGAGATGATATAAAGGTGCATGCAACAGATGAAGATGATGCCAAAGGTCACCACCGAGTCGTTGTTCGAGAGCACCAGCATTGGCCCCAGAGTCTCGCTGACTGCACAGGCGGCTGAGAAAAACGTAGCGACCAGGGTAAGGTGGTAATCCGGATCCGAGTCTTTGTATCCTGGAGGGCTACGGGCATTCGGCAAATGGCATGAGCAGTTTTGAGAAGGAAGAACGGTCTGTTGGTCCTTTGTACATGACCCGCCGATACCAGTCCGACCAAGGCATGCTCACCATGTACTTTGCAGACCAGAGGTTGCTCACGTTCAAGTACTTGAACCATGGCCCGATCTTGCACCTGAAAGGCTCAGCTGCTGCGACGAATTGACTCATGACGTTTTGCGGGTCTCAATTGCATTAAGCACATGGCCAACCAGAGCACAAGTGAAACCTCGGCTCAAGCGCAGAACACAAGGCAGGTGCTGTCAGCATGGATTGTTCGATCTTGTCACTGAGCCTGGTACCAGGTCATGAACAGCTGCAGGCCCGCGACTTGACCCTGCTCCACAGTGAAGCACATGCAGAAGAAGCAGTACATCGTTTGGGTACCATAGGTGTGCATATGCTGCCCATAGTCGAAGAGGAACTCATAGATCCTCAGGGAGCATTGGAAGTTGAGGAATGTGCTTCGAGTCCAGCAGCAGCGTCAACACCCAACAGCACTGGCAGACAAGGCTCAGACAGGCCGTTAAGGGCCACATCAGTGCAGGAGTGACTTCCGGGGACACAAGCACGCGAACCGTCAGCAGGTACATCAAAACACCCTCCACGAGCACATCCAAATAGTTTCTGCGATTGGGCAGACAAGGGAGGAAGGGGGCATTGTACTTCATGGTGCCAACAGTCCATCGATACCACCAGTCCTGAAACGGTGGATTCACTTTGGCATGCATTGGTCCCGAGATGACACCAAGCCCTAGGGCTTCCCACATGTTCCAGAACACGAGGAGCTTTTGAACCAGTGTCAGCCACGGAATGCCTTCATGCATGGACGTGGTTAGAGCCACAATCCCGAAGTACGTCACCATGAAGACCAGGACCATGGTCCAATGCCATGCCATAACCGCGTAATTAATGCCAAGGCCTACATTGGGATCAAGTATGTGGGCCGCTCCCACATCTGTCTTGAGAAGAAGGTCTTTGCTCTTAACTGTGGCCTCGTCAGGAGGGAATCGTGCACCATGAGCAACTGCATAAATGGAAGAGATATCGAACTGTGTGCCCAAGTTCCGCCACCATGCGGGTGCCATGCTGCAAGCAAACCTTGGCTTCGCAGGAGACGGATGTACCTGTATCTAGGTCTGTCAATGTGGGTCTTGTAAGTTGCGAAGGAAAGTGCACGCACAGGGCTAATACCGATCCAAATACCGTTGCCCAAACCTGTACTGCTCTGGCTGAGTGTGCACGAAGGATTGATTCGTTCTCCGATTAAGCGATTAAGCATGCAAAACTGGTTGGAAATGGCAAAGCATACTCACAGGCCTGATCAGTTTGGCTCTAAAACGAACTTTACCGTAGGCCCGAAATCGCACCCCGCCCTGCTCGAAAGTTCCAGAATGCACACACAACAGTACATGTATCACTGTAAGCATACGAACAAACACAATTTCATCTACATACCAAGACCAATAAAAGCATCTATGTATGTATGAGTGTATGTATGTGTGTATGTGTGT